GTGTTGAGTTGACAAAGACCTAGGAACCAAACGAATACTCAGTCGCCTCTTTGGCATGGGCCAAAAAAAAAGCCCAATCGCCTCTTTTGCATTGGAAAGACAAGACATAGTCGCCTCTCCGGCATGGGCAAACCAAGAGTCAGTTCACGTGTAGCCTCATTGGTGTTGAGAATAGGTCGGGAATATACCCTACATTGTCTGCACCTTGGCTTACATTAATATTGGGTTATTCCTATTCACACCTAACTTTTCAATTCGGCACTTCGGATAACCCAAACTTGAAAATTTTTTGTCAAACATCTAGATTTCTGCACATAAAAAGAAAGAGATTTCATTGAAGATAAGTTCAGTTACATCCTGTTGCAAAAAAAAAAAAAAGAAAAAGAGAGTTCAGATATTTAAACCGAGCTCGGAGGCTTGGGATATCGTATATGTACAAAAGGTCCAAGAAAAGAGGCAAGATGAATCAGTCATTCAGGGACTCCTCGCCCTCACCAACAACATCCTTAGGCTGGTCGGTCTCCATGGCGTCCTCGACAACAACGTCTTCGGCATCTTCAGCATCCCCTTCATCGGTCTCCTCGTTGTCACTTCCCTCCTCCGAGTCTGGGTCCTTCCCTGCCTCTTCGGCCATCTTGCGAGTGACCCAGAGTGTGCTGATAACACTAAGATCAAGGTCGGGGCACTCACGTCGAGTCAGCCACCTGCTCAGTTTGAAGCCCTTTCGGTAAAAAGACGAGCTGATCTTAGTTCCTAGCTCGCGAAGCTCCTTCGAATTCTTGTAAGCCTCGACGGCTTTGGACCCGACCTCCTTGATTGCCTCGTCATGGATTGCCTCGCGCTCTTGCAGAATAGCCTTCAAATTCTCCTTCTCCTTTTTGAGGTCCGCTTTCTCGTTCTTCGAATCCTCCTTCTCCCACATCAGGTACTTGATCAGGCCTTTTTCAGCTCGATCATCCTTTTCCAACTTATGGATTTAACCCAAGGCCTTGTTGAGCTCACGCTGAGAGTGCACAGAGGAACTCTCGGCTTCCAAGGCCCTTGACAAATGCCGATCGGACTGTTGAACCAGAGCATGGATCATAGAGTTTACCTATCAAAAGAAAGATGATGAAGTCTCAATACTGAAAGAGAATATAGAGAATGATGACCAAAGTGCAGAAATGTACCACCATGCAGTGACTAGTAGCCCTCTGCCCGAGCTAACTGATCGACAGTTCGGAGAAGTGAGCGATCTCCTCGGGTTAAACTACTTATTTGCTCTTATGGAGGCTACATTTCGGGTTCATGATGCTTGGCTGGTCCTCGGGGCCCTCTATAGAAGAGATGACCTTGCGGGTAGCCTGGAGCTCGGGCTCTGGAATCTCCTCGGGCAAAGTAGGTTGGGGAACCCCATCATGGTCCCCCTCAACCAAGTTGAACACTGGAGGGTCCTCGGTAGCAGGAGCATTAATGACAGGGGGGGTAGTGGTATGCACGGTGGTGGAGTCTTGGGGACGGGCCTTCTTGGAAGCCCTCCTCATGTTCTTGGACAAGTCACCAGTGGGAATGTCATCCATGGTTACTTTAGAAGGCAATGCAGAGCAGTTAGGCAAATTAAAGTCGAACCAAAAGAAGACCGGGCATATACACCGAGGTGACAACCTACCGGGAGGGCTCAACCCGGCTCTTATGAGCTTCTCCTCAGCCAAGAAGTCCGCCATCTATAGGTCTAGCTGCTTCCAAGAGCGGATTACCGCCATTATCTCCTGGTCCAACCTAATGTCGGGGTCTTGTATGGCTGAGCTCCAGTGAGTTGGGAAAGGCCACCCGCGGTATTACGAACCACGAACTAACGTCTCTTCTAGGCCGGAACCTTATTAGGAGCCCCGTGCAGAATCTTGTACCTAGGTCAAGGAGACATAGTAACTACGCCTGTTCTTGGCCAGAACATAGACGGAGTTCTTTTTAATGGAGTAGGTCGAACTAAAGATGTCAAGGCTCAGAGGTCGGTTATAGACGTGGAAGAGGGAGATGGTGCGGATCGAGTTTGGGTGGAGCTGGTTTATAGCAATATCAAAGAAATTGACTACCTCGATGATGAAAGGATGAAGGAGGAAACATTGCCCAGACGCAAGCTGATCCCCAAACACCACGATCTCGTCGTGACCGTGATCCCAAGGATGTTGACCTAAAGGAATGCTAAGTACAAGATCGTTTGGGAACCTATAGCGAGCTGCCAACATGACAAGTCTGTCAACTGTCATAACTAAAGGACCAAAGTTATCTGGCCCCCGACATCGATGAGAGGTGGAAGTTTCTTCTCTAGAAGCTTGGCGCTCCTACCGAGTTGCATCCTCCCCGGACGCACTAGAGTCAGGGTCACGCGACATAGTGCTCGCTTTGCCTAGATTTGGTTCTTCAACGAGTGTCGAGGTCCCCACCTTGGCGCCCTCTGACTCACTAGTTTGATTAAACAAGTTGCCCGTACTAATGCTAGACATGACTGAAACTAAGAACAAGCGAGCAGAAAGGGGAAAAGCAAGGACAAGGCGAACTCACCGAAGAATGGAGAGGAAATTGGATGACCTCGAATACACGGGCACGTAACACCGACCTGGAGACGTATGCGCGACCCCAAGCACTCTAATGCACGAAATATGGGAAGGAAAGGGCACCCCTTGGCACGGGGAGTGGGGGGCAATTAACGCGGGCTGATTCGGCCCAACCTATTGAACAAGGGACACGTGGACGCGATCCGACAACAAGATGATGACTCAGCGCTCCCCACCACCTCGGCTATGACCGAGGTAAGAGCAGCTCGGGACAGCCCAACCTGCCGAGGTGACGCATAGCAAACTTCTAGTAGCCCACCAGCTATCTTCAACACCTATGGGATCATGCCTCGCAACCGTCGGCTTTACCCTCAACCCGCTCGATTCGGGCGAGCACGATGAGCATTATCTGAAGACATGATAACTACTATTCGGTGCAAAACAAACTCCTGATAACACGGGAGTGGATCCCGGAAACATTTTGTGAAACCCACGGCAGTCTACTATATAAGGGCACAAACTCCCAAGACCCAGGTGCCCGCGGTTAAGTGTACTCTAGTTCTCTTACTTCCAAGCTTTTACCTTGCAACCAGAACAAGAATACTAATTTAAGCATCGGAGCGACCCCACCGGGTTAGCCACCACGGGTTCTTTGATCTATTTTCTTGCAGTCTGCTCGTCTCATTCATCAACCGACGTCCGAGCTGTCGTCCAGCTAGGTGCATCCAGATCGCGCACAATCACTTTTGAAATGCAAAAATAGCTTAACTAGACGAGATCACATCTGCGCCCCACATGCACATCTTAGTGTGCATTGGAAACATCTCCCAAAGTTGTCAGTGGGAGATGTTCCCAATACACAGTTGGGATATGTTGTGGACGTTTGTGGGGCATAGATGTGAATTCTCACTGGACAGTCGATTTCTCTAGAGGTGTAAATTGGGTTGTGTTGGGCCGGCATGGCATGGCCTGCATGTGGCCCGTGCTATGTCGATCCGCGGGCCAAGTTGGGCAGTACTTCCCTCCCCTAGGATACTTTGGGGGTCAGCCTAGCACGGCTCACGGACCGACAAATCAAGCCAAACCATTTTTTTAATTTTAAAAAATAATGAAAATTTTAACATATATTAAAAAATAGACGAAAAGTAAAAAAGATCTTAAAATTTTACAGTTCATTTCAAATTTTTGTGGGGGTTCTTTTGTCTTTCGCCCACTTCTGAATTGCCTCTTAGCATGTTAAGCACCTAGGGAGGTTCTTTTCTATTTAGATCTGAAATTGGGTTTCAGATCTGAAAATCAGACTCAACCCAAATGTAGGTGGCATAATATTTTCAGACTTCATAGGTCTGAAAAGTGCCATCAAGCGCCAGCTTAGAACCCAGGTCGATGTCTAGAAATGAGCTTTGGTTGGGTAAGCACTGAGGTGGTATATAATATAATATAGATATAGATTACATAAGCAAAAGGATTACTTCCTTCTAAAACTAGGTTTGGGAAGTTAATGGACTATAATTGATGCAACATTTAAGTGATTATCCTTTAACAAATGCAATAAACAAACCCATTTGAATGGCGTTCCACCAAGCTTCCTTGGTGTTTTCATTACCAGAAACTTGTGGCGTGTACAGAAATAGAATTGGAAACACTCATTCCCAACCTCCTCGAGGACAAGAAACAAATTTGACTTTTTCTTTTTTGATATTACTGGGTGCATGTGGGGTTCATTTACCATTCCACATGGAGAACCTTCAATTATGTAGGTGTGATCCTGCACATCTAAATTTGGGGGACACCGAGTGACCATCTCAGCTAGTGAGTCATAGGCAGGCAGGAATAAATTTCACTAAGAAAAAAGAAGCAATGACAATGGAAAAGAAATGATTTCATTAATTGTAAAAGGGGTTCTTATAATGGTAGAAAATCTGGTAGACCTCCCCCAAATTTAGAGGTGGTTCCTCCATAATATATTGCCACAATATATATTAGGCAACGTACGTACCCTTGGAAAGTTATAGTTGTGTGTTGATGAATTATATTAGCCCTTCAGCGTCTCTAGCTCCATTGTCTTTGTCATTAGATTACTAAACGTACATGTAGATGAGGGAGGAGTACTGGACCAGTACTCCAGTCCAGTCTCCACTTTCCTCTGTCGTTGATGGTAATATTGGAAAGAAGGGCCGTATTGCTCTTGTGGGGGTTGTCAGCCATTTCCACATATACCACGACACGACAAACAGCCTCCAGTATCTTATTTCTTCTTCTACTATTTCAATTCTCTCAAGAGCTGTAACATGCACCTCACTTCACCCCTCCAAGACCCCGGCTTATATTCTCTTTTCTGTTTGCTTGATTGTTAAAATAAATCTTTGGAAACCCACTACATCATGCATGTCCATAAATGGTTATTCTTCAATTTATTTATTTTTTATTTGTAGAAAAAGAAGCAAATATATATAAAATAGATCATCAATTTATTCTCTCAAAGAGTACCTTGGCTATGTGGCGGTTGATCATGTCGTGTGGACAGTAGGCAGTGTAGTAGTAGCCCTTGGCAACAGTGAGGAATGTTTGCTTGATCGCAGGATCAATGCCATCAGAGGGCCGGAGTACACATTGGACTAGTTCTTGCATGTCTGATTCTATCTCGAGGGGGGTGGTGGTGCTTCTCATATTTGGAATATTATTGCTCTCCTTTTCCTTTACCTGATAACCAAAGGAAGTTGGGAAAAAAAATTAACAAATTAAGAACATAATATAAGATATATTGAGCATCGATTGGTCACTGCAATATTCCATATATTATTGCTCTCCTTTTTGTTTTTGTTTCTTTTCTCATTTCAAGCATAGCTCCATCAGCTACCCAAATTCAGAAGAGAGAATACCCATTTTTTTTTAATGAACTTAAGAAATAATAGAATGAAGTCATTCAAAGATGCATGTGTTGAAAATGAACTGATTTACTATTTTCCTGAACAACCTCAAGTGAATCCATCCCACTAGAATGAAGTAAACTTAATTGAGATGAAGGCTGTCAAAACTAAAATTAATGAAATGGTGCTATTTCAGATGGAAAGCAAAAAGAGTAGACAAGTAATTCGTGTAATAATGTCCATGGAAAGACGTTTGTAATTATAAAATTACTCTCTCTCTCTCTCTCTACATGTATTGGGAGGGACCCATAAAGTTCCATTATTAACTCCATCCCTTAAATATTAGTTATGGGCCGGGGTTTGATGAGTTTTTTCTTGCACTTCCGTTGGGTCTGTGAGAGGTGTTCTCTTACATGCACGTTGACTCGGGAGAAAATGTGTAAGAAAAATATAACGGGATCAGACATGTCCAATTGTCTTCCCACTTAATTTTGAGTGCGGATGACCCATATCTATTTCCAGCTGCAATTGTCGTCTGGGAAAGGTGTCCCATTTCATGTCATGCATGCATGTGAAATGGGAACCAAATTCAGCCAACAACAGCGAGTGCTTTTTCATTTTGAGAAGAGAATTAATCATCCTGAGAGCGCAGAGTGCAAATTAAAGAAGAATTGGATTAGAACAAATAAAGCCACATTCCTACTTGTTTGTGCAGCAATAAGAGAAGATATATAGATAGAGATCTATTTGGAGTGGGTTTTTGTTTGTCATGGATAGCTCCTTTCTGTGCCACACTCTGCTCATTCATAATTCTCACCTTGCATTCCCGGAAACGACTCAAGTGGTGGAACAATCTGTTGGTGAGTTGGACGACACGAGCATAGTGGGGATGGGACAACAGCTCCTCCGAGATGCAACGGCCGGCACATAGGTTTATGCTGAGTACCAGTAGCTCTGCCTCTCTTTCATGCTGCCTATCTTCTTCTTCTTCTTGTTTTTCCTCCCACCATGTCAGCAGCCACCTGCCCCACTGTACCCATCAAAACTTTGTTAATAGCAAGGACAGAGGAAAACGGTACGGCAGATCTCTTTCTCACTCTCGCACACGCACACGCACACACACACGCACTCGCACACACACGCCACGCGTTAACATCAATAATGCAGAGAGAGTATATATAAAAAGCTTCCCTTGTCATTGTTATTGGTGGTTTGAGATGTGGTTCAAGTATAGAGTACTCACAGCTCGTTGTAAGTAGTGGCGGATGTGTATGCCGTGCGCCATCAGTGAGTCCAATGAAAGCCGATTGAGGGTTTGGAGCAGGGCCCTAATGAGTCCCTCTGCTGTCCTCTTCGAACCCCACCTCCTGCATAAAACCAAACAAATACAACCTTTCATTTTTCTCCAAAAGCTCCTTTCATTTCTCTCGACAAATGAAACCCACTTTTGAAAAATGAGACCACTAATTTCCATAATAGAGAAAACATATATCTCTGGCCTGTCCTTTCAGTGGGTGGATGATGGATCCTCTATCTCTCTCTCTGGTGGTAGCTAGTATTGGTGGTTTGGTTAGTGAAACTTAATTAGAACAAATGAAGAGTGCTACATAAAGATGAACGCTTCAGAATTTTGTGTTGTCATCACAGAATTGGTTCATGTATAAGGTTTGGATATATGATGCTCAGAAGAAGACGATTATGATGAGATAGCACAAGGAGGCATTAGGGGAAAAGCTTCTGCTCCTTTTGAAAAGGGAGGGGGAAACAGTCTTTTTCAGGATGCATAACAGGTCCAAAACACCTCACTGTTTTGAAGATACCGGTATGGGGGCTTTGACATCCACAGTGAATAAGGATCAACCCCTCCTGTAAATAAGAACCATGGGATCTAGCGTGCTGTGGTGTGTTGCAAAACACCAAACAATAAGCATGCATGACGCATCTGCTAGACCCTCGGGTCCAGCACTTAATTAGCTGGACCCTCCAATCCTAACCCTTTTTCACCACACTTAACGGAGTAAGAGTTAACGGCTGGATTACACATAACAAGTGTTGATGTTGAAGGCTCCAATATTCTCTACTCTTTTGTAAGACAGAATCCTGACCGGGGAACCACACCGATTGTGAGCTTCGGCAACCAGAACCCTCTGCACAAGTCTTTCGAAGCAAAAGACTTGGTGCAGCTTCTGCCGTGTTTCCTATCTCTAAATTCGCAACAACACCACGCTTACTATATAAGCCTTCTTCCTTCTTTGCATCTATTATGTTTGGTCTGAAGAATTAATGAGTTTCTTGCCTTCAATTTCTTTTACCTCTCTCTCTCTCTCCTTCTTTTTCGCATTTGGTTATTCTCGGAAAGCTGCCGAGGCTTGCTTGTTGCAATGCGAAAGAACTACAAAGGTGGCATAAACCGGGACTGAATCGCAGACTCAGTCGCCAGGCAGATAGAATGGGAGATGGAAGTGGCATCTAGAGAACAGCGGTATATATAGACGTTGCCTGAATGCCGGAGCTCACAACTTGTGCGGTTCCTGGGTGAGGGTTCTCTCTCACATAGTCACATGGAGTAAAGAATGAAACCTTCAACCAGTGTCGTGATGAATTTTCAGAGATTTTCTGCTGAGAAACCGTTTTATAAGTTAGAACTAACAACCATCAGAGTCTGAATATAGTTTCTAACCTTGTGTTGCTTTTAGGTGTGTTATCACAATTATTGCTACTGCTGTTGAAAGCATCAACGAAGTCTCTCCATTCTTGATCAGCTTGCTTCTCTAAGTAAAAGCAGACTGCCTTGACTAGGACTCCTGTTCGAGCCCATGCAAGACGCTCAGTCCATCGTTCAGGCTCGAAAATGCTTGCTGCTGCCACAAAATAGGCTTGGACAAGTGTCTCCCTGCTCACCCCGAACTCTCCAAGATTATACTCTGTGTACCACCTGCATGATGGGATACTTTAATAACTAACTATTTCTCATATACGCAATATATATATATATATAAATATGTCTCATCAAGGAACCACTGTAAGTCTCTTAGCTTACTTCTGAAAACTGATCCATTCCAGCTGATGCAATGCTTGGCAATGATTGTAGTCTATTTTTGCTAGCTCAAGATAGTCATTGTTATTAACTAAAGGCATCCTGAATAAAATTATTCAACCGGGAAAATTATGACGAAGTCGATCAGATCGAATAACCAGGTCAAACGTAGAATCCAGGGGAAAAAATAGAAAATCCATATATGCTGCCGGAAAGAGATAAGAACCTGTACAGTGTTTTCCCGATCCATACATCATCGTCCCCACCATATTGCTCTATATAATACCTAGACTCCAGTCTGGGTAGGCTGGCGTACCATGGTATGTCGACAGCATGGCCCACCTAATAATTTGGACGTGCAACCCATTATTTCTGTTTGACAAAATCCTGAATGAAAGTAGAATTAATTATAGTACAAAGTTGGCTTTATTATTTTAATTTAATTTATATATACCTCACCAGGCAAGTCCTTGGTTATTATCCATTTATCTAGAAGTTGATTGGCAGCCAGCTTTTCTTTTAGAAACCTGAATGAAAACGTCTTGGCATCTTCTAGGATCTTCTCTCCGGGGAACAACACCTGAGACGCCCGGTAGAGGTTAAAAATTCCTGTGACTGCCTGGTTCGATTGTCCTGCAAAGCAGAAGAATTCCCCGCCTTTCTCGAATTGCCGAAATGAATCTGCATGCGGCAATGAATCTTAATTAGTAGTATATTATTAATATACTACTATCTATATATAATTTGATATTATTCGAGCATGGTAATTATTAATTACCAGCGGAGACATCATAGCCATGCAACCTTAGGAGCCTGAACCCCATAGCTGTGTCATCAATATCATGTACCCTTGAATTTCGTGCCCAACAAATCCCATCCTCCGTCCAATAACTAATGTTTTCATTGGGATTTGAGCGTTAAAGTGGGAGGAATAATGTTTCAGTCAAATAATATTTTAAGGTAAAAATCTGAACTGAGCATTAAACAACGACACCTGTAGACATAATTGAGGCACTCTTTAATTTCTGATTGGAAATATCTAGAAATGCCGAGGCGTTCCAACCGATCAACAGCCCAAATATGTTCAAACAAGTCGACAGGATAGACATTAGGCACTGAGAAAAAACAAAACCATATATATACTGTTAGTAGCTGAGCACATATATATGAAGCTAAAATAAAAAAAGTTAAGAGGTAATTAATTAAAACGGAAAGCTTTCTAATTAATCGTGGAGGCAGAAGAGATATTTTACCTCCTCCATTGAATCTCTGGACGACTTTGTTGAGATATTGTAGGCAATTTTCATCTTTAGTCTGCATGAGGGCAAAGGCTGTCGAGGATGGCGAAAAGAGGAATGACCCATCTGAGCACTGAAGCTTGAGAAGCTTCTCCCATTCCAACCCATGCATGCCTTCCAAGCTATGGAGGAGAGTTGTGGGAACTAAGTGCATCATGTCCTTCGGTATCCTATATATATATATATATATATAGATCACACAATTAATTATTATATTAATCTATATATAAAAATAAAATCTCTTCGGTCTTCTCCCTGCAATAATTCACAAAGTATGTATATATATATATATATATATATATATATATATATAACAAAGACAAATGACATACTCCATTAATTTTCACCTTCGATTATAAGAATTTTTACAAACCATTACTCGCAGAGTGTCAAGTTAATTACCTAGTGAGCTTTAGATTCCGCTTGGTATATATCTCTTGCATGAAAGCAGAATCATCTGGAATTTGCAAATCCAGATTTTTAGCAATTTCAATAAGAGAAGGGAAAGCAATTTCAAAGCCTATCGGCATGTTCTCTGCATTTTCAGTTTCGAGCATGCACATGTTCTCCCGAATGAATAACATTCCTATTAAGCCAAAGCAAAACCCATCTTAATTAATTCATGATCACTTTCATTTGATAAACTGATAATACGTACAACTGATGATGAACCAGTATTTAGTTAATTTTGTCATACCTTTCTCCCATCTCTCTGGGTATACGTTCCATGATTTCAATGCAACCACACAAGCCAAAGTGTTTAGTATCCGATCGTGAGCAGAGAACATCCCAAGGTCACCCCAAGAACCATCTGGGAGCTGATTTTCGACGATCCACCCAAGGCTAGAAGGGAACTGAGGAACACCACTTCCATGAATATCTTCGACTAGAGCCACCCATGCAGTGTCGTAGGCCGAGATACTAATTTCTCCATCCTCCATTGAATTCAACATTGATTTAATGGAATCCACCCTCTCCGCTATCTCTTTCGAAATCAAAACCTTGGTCAGCATAGACGAAACTCCATTAGTTTAGTTGGATAAACCAGTGAAGATCAAAAAGAAAGCAATAATCGACAAGTGAAATTACGTTATGAGCTTCCCCTTCTTCGTCACTGTTGACAGTCTCTAGCCACTCTATCACTGCTGAGCCATGTTTAGAAACCTCCGCGTAAACTGCACAAAACGATCATGGATTATCCAGCTAGCTAGCGTATCATGTGTGTTGTGTATACGTAGGGTTAACTTTGGTCTTTGGCTGTTGGGGCCCAACAGCAACAGCTAAAGTTTTTCCGTATACGTATGCATTTGCAGGAAAGGACGTACGTATATATATGTGCACAAGTACGAATCTATCTGGGATCCGGAACTATAATCAAATGTTTGTTACCTTGCGTGGGAGATTTGGATTTGGCGCCAAGTATGGAATGGAAGAGACCAAGGTTATTCCTTTCATTCATAGTCCTGATCATAGACCATACACCTTCAAAGAAGAATAATTAACGGACGGACACCCATTGATTTATAGCCGAAACTAGAAAGTAAGTTTGATGTGAAAAAATTACAATACGGCCGGCCACTATATCATTTTAGACTCATTCATTCGATTACTCTGTAACAGTTAGAGCAAAGTTAACAGGAAACTTAGAAGAGGTTATGCAGTGTTCACCATTAATTCCCCGGCTAAAAACATGAATCTCAATAATTCACCAGAAAAATAGCTCGCCTTTTTTTTTTGTCTTAGAAGTTACAACTGTAATCCAGAAGGATATAGATTCTAGAGAAAAACGATCAATCTTGACGTTCGTTTCTTTTACCTTTACCAACTGGATCAGTAATAAAAAGCATTTAACTGCCGTGGAGATTATCCGATTTCGTCCCCAGAAATCTGAACTTGTACCAGGTGATGGTTCATAAGATATATAGCGTAGAAAGTGGAAACTCACCAGAGGAAACCGCCGGCGTATCTGATGAAGGAGAAGCTCGTAAGACTGGAAGATGTGGAAACTGGCGGAGGAGAGTTGCCGTAGAAAGCATTTTGTTTTAAAAGTTTAAAAGGTGGCCGAGAGAAGAGAGGGAAGGGGCAGAAGAAAGTAGAAACTGAACTGAAGAGATTAATGGAGAGAGAGAGAGAAAACAGATCTCACCTGACGCAGAGGTAAATGAGAGTATGGTGTGATTTGCTCTGTAATACACTTTTAACAACTTCACAATTTCTCATCCCATCCCATCATTTCTCATCCCACAAATCAAACAGAGCCTAAGAAATTCACATCTGCACCCACAAACGCCCCCACATGCACATTTTCGCACGGATTGGGAACATCTCCCGAAACTGTCAGTGGTAGATGTTTCCGATGCACGCTGAAATATGCATGTGGGGCGTCTGTGTGGCACCCTCTGTCAGGTGCTGATGTGATTTCTTTTCGTTGATAAGGCCTCCTGTAACCTCCTCCCTCGACTGGGGTTCTCTCATAAAAGTTCTGCTACTGTATGAGTTTTTGTTTTCATGTTTTGTCTTTAGTCTTTAGCGGGGTATTTGGTTCACTGCATATAAAGCAACTCTTTTTCAAAACAAAGAAAGTAAAATAAAATAAGTAACTTTTTCACTTGTCTCAAGTGATGACTGTAATTCAAAAAGTACAAAATTAAGGATATAGATAATTAAATTTTATTTTATTACAATATCACTTAATTAACCGAAACAAAGGATACTTAGTCTAAAAAGGCTAATTTTGACAGTATTTAAAAATAAACGATTATTCAAATAAGTACTTATTTTGGACCAGAAAGCAATTATTTGCATTTGGGGAATAAAACTGAATAAGTGTTTATTCCTGAGAGTAAGCACTTACAAACCCAAATTTAGACTTATTTTTAAGTGTTTATTTCTTTTGACTTATCTTGGCCTGTCATGTTATTTTAAAAATACCTATATTACCTATAATTGAAATAAGTGCTTTTTCAGCAAATGCTTATAATATAATAACTTATTAAAACAATCACTTATTATTTTTCAAATAACTACATTTGGTAATTGGCATTCCTTATTTTAACGACTCGTCCCTCCTTTTGGGTTAAAAATTCAATATATAAAGGCATTTTAATGGCAAAAAAAAAGATAAATCCTTAAAAAAAGAAATTCCAAACGCAGCCTACGCACTCCCAAAACTTCCTCTTATTTATATCAGACGAATGTGAAAGGAAGTTAGGAAGGAGGTCATGTAGTAACAGCTGAAGCTGAAACTCAAACTCAAACTGAAAAACTGAAGTTGATTCAATTATTATACCCTCATATTATTCAAATGCTTTATTCATTAAAAGACAAAATAAAGTCATTTAGTTCGGTCATTTCAGATGCAAAAGGACCACCACTATCTATCATTCTCCATGTGCGCATGCTGCAAGGAAGACCGAACATCCGACTCCTCTCCACATTTTTATTTTTTTTAAAAAATAACCTTGATGAAGTGTCAGTTTGACTAAGATCAAATATAGATATCTGCTCTTATGTCATTAGGTCAAAAATCCCGTTTGACAAGTCTTTTTTGAGAAGATATTCTCGTAGCTCTGATAGTGAATAGACACATTGAGCTTTGACATAAGATTTGGGCAGCCTGAATACCGTTTGGCAGATGAGTGTCTTTCCGTGCATTATTTTGAGTCTTTCTGTGCGTGAAAGACGCGGATTGAAACTTCCCAAAATCAGCCCAAAATAGGCTTTGCATGTTTTTTCGACGCCACATCTTTTGACGACTAAGTCTTCCGCATGCCAAACGGGAATAAATTTGGCTGAGGGGCTCAAATATTTCATATCAACCATTTTAGAAAAAGATGCATGGATTAAATGATTTAGGCCCATCCAATAATGATAACTCTCGGACTGAGATTTTTATTTATTTATTGGCATTAGGATTAAGACTTTATTAGTATCATTCAAACTCCAAAAGTTCAGGGTCGAGATCCAATGAGAACTTTTTTCGAATTTGAGTGATCCATCCTTATCAATTTAGGACTGATAATTTTGACCCAGACCCATATGACCTACTCAACCCACCCGTTTGAAAATTCATCCATACCCACTTATTCTATTAGTGGATCCATAGACTCCGAATCTCCTATTTATAAGAATTTTATCCACATTTCCCTACAAAATAATAATATGTAAGAGGATGGGATATTCCCTATATATGACCGCGATGTTATGTGAATAGGTGTGGATAAAGTTATTGTGAATAGGAAATCTGGATTCAGATCAATATGGGTCAAGCAACCTATTAAAAGGGTAATGTGAAAGATGATTAAGGATGGGAAAATATCTGTTGAATATACCATGAATTCCACCATTAAGGATGGGAAAATCTCTGGTAAAAATGGAAGTACAATCTCTGGTTAGGAGCTTTTTGGTGGAACCCTGATTAGGAACTGAGAGGTAATTTACAGATTTGGAAAACGACATTTGTACTTACCAAACCCATATGCAAAATACAAGATTTTAGAATCTCATATAGTTTTATCTAGTGGTTTCGTGTAGCCTTAATTGGACTTCTTTCTCTATCTCAAATTTTTGTTTGTGATATTCGACGTTTCGTATAACGATGGCTGAAGGCAAGGGTGATCTAACAGAGGATCTCCTCTCATTGAAAAGAGAAAACTTCCGATGAGCCGTGGACCTCCAAAGGTACTTAGGGTTCTTGAACGCTGATGCTTGACATTCATTGTTATTATTTTTTGGTTACGATAATTCGTCAAACTGATGAATTTAGTTGTTGTGAAGTTACTGTTAAGTAATTGTTGCTTGATCTTGATCTGATGTTGCAGCTATATTCTCTTTTCCAGCCCCTTCAATTGAGTCTTTAAGCCAGCAAGTGATTTCATCATATGCCCAGTCCGATATTTGTCCGACAGAAAAATACTTCATTTTGAACTTTGCAACAAAGTGATTGGTAAGGCAGAGAGAAAGAGAGAGAGACCGGAGATGGAGAGAGATGCCATCGTTGCCAGCGTTCACCATGCAGTGCAGGTCCGTTAGGTTCGCGGCTGACACGGGGAAGACCACGACCGAGAGCTCATTCCCTATCACCACACCAGGAGGTCATTGAACCGACTTCCGAAGGAGGTGACAGGCTTCTGTTGAACCAACTTCCAGAGGAGGTGACGAGGTTTCTGTTGAACCGATTTCCGGGAGGTGGTGCAATGAACATGGCAGTGTTTTTTAAATATATTTTATTTAACTCATTTTACATGTGGAAATCTCTGGATTTCAGGAAGCAAGCATGGAAATCGTTTTGAACTCTGAAGTGCTGAACTACCAAACCCATTTGCCTCAAAATGAAAGGTTTGGTCTTCTTTCGAAGAGGATAACAAGATGTTATATTAAGAAATCAAAAGAGAGAAGAAATGCAGTGTTACAAGTAATAAAGCCCATAGAAATCAGGGTCTCGAGAGTTGTACAAGTCAGTTCTAAGTAAGCCCGTTTTAACTAACAAGTCGGCTTCAGTATTAAATAAAATCCCTAGGAGCCAACCCAGTTAACAGAGGATGTAATGTAGGAGACGATATCTGTTGTTTCATTCAAACACACGACACAGCCACTATGTTTAGGTTTGGTCTTGGGCTTGGCTCTTTAACATAATCTAATCCATCCATAAATGACTATGAGCCCCCCTTCAGAAGAAGAAAATCCCCCCACGCCTTTACCATTAAAACCAGCACGTTGAAACCAAGTGTTAAAATCAAAATACTACTGAACCCCCCTACCCAGCAAACATGACATATGTCATATTCGTTCAACTTTTTTCTTCTTTTTTTTACAAAAATACCTATAAAACCCATACTAGAGCTTCTCCGTTTTGAAATTTCTCAAAACCGTTTTATCACCAGAGCCTCATCTTTCATCGCCAGAGCCGTATGGAACTGGTTATCATCTTAGACCGGTAATGCCATTTAGCAATTGATTTGTTCGAGAAAAAAGAAGCAACTTTTGCAGGTTCAAAATCTCAACAGTTATATTA